CCATTTTAAATACACTAACCTCACTTCTTTGTAACAACTAAGGCAAAAATGTAATTAATTCAGAAAATCTTTTCAGGACCCCACCTTGATGTTTCGGGACCCTACTTTGGGAACCACTGTATTAGACTATCAGTAGCCTTCAGTGTCTCACAGCTATTCACACAGACTATTTAATTAACAGCAGACCCAACAAATGTAACAACTATTTTAATTTACTTTACTAACTTTTTTACAAATCAGGTCTAGTAGCGTGCCGATTGAATGTGTGTTTGAATGTATAAACGAGGGCACAGGTTGTAGTTTAAAGCGCTTTGAGTGTCTTGGTTGGATAGAAAGGCGCTATATAAGTACAGTCCTTTTACCATTTTACAGTGAAATACTGTTTTTGTAAGCTCTACTAGGTGCAGCTAATTGCAGTGATCAGAATCTATAGCTAAGATTAAAAAGTACATTCCATAATTTATGCAGAAACTTTAGTCTACGTAAATATTACAACAAACAGACAAAATACCAGTTTGTACTATGTATTTAATCATTTGTACCAAATCGTTACATGATTCGGTTTGTACAAAATACGTACTATTAGAGTTGGGTGGTATTGATCATTTCCTTAATGCGATATAACTTTCAGAGGCACCTGCAGAAATGTTTTTCAGGGGGGCCATGGGCCATTGAAAAACCACCAGTGGTGGAACACCAAAACTAAAATCTATAACAGAATTTTTATGATGTTGTACAGTTACAGTTTGACAACTGGTAATATAAGTATTTGCCAACAGATGTAGTTTGTTATCTTACAAATAATATTATTTGTGACATCCAGAGACCAGAAACAAGAATAGAAATGATTTAGAATTCCACATTAGTCCGTGTGTTTTGTATATTTACACATAAAATACCATAAATTGCTGTACATTATTATTAGGGATGCTCAATAACTTCTGTTAGTGCATTATCTACTGTATTTTGAACTTGGGGAAAGCACTTTTTCTCTTTGCACATATTTGTTTTAAATCAGAGATCAGTTTTAAAGGTCTTTTTTTATCATTATTGTGCCATATTTAAATAGATGTTCATTTGAGAAATTGTTTCGTTTGATATATTTTAGGAAATGTTTGCTTGCTAAGAGTTTATTTCAAATAATATAATTCACAGAGTAATTTGGTTTTGGTCTTATTTATGTTATGATCTTACACTTTTCTCCTAGCCTTTTTATCTCCTGCCATGTTATTGGTTATTATCAATTATTGGCCGAGGAGAAAATTATCGGCATCGGCTCTTAAAAAAAGTTAGATTCAAAGTACATTTGTTTTTATTATTACTTAT